ATAACCAATTGAGGGATAACCAATTGAGGGATAACCAATTGTGGAATAACGAATTGAGGGATAACCAATTGAGGGATAACCAATTGAGGGATAACCAATTGTGGAATAACGAATTGAGGGATAACCAATTGAGGGATAACAAATTGAGGGATAACCAATTGAAGGATAACCAATTGAGGGATAACGAATTGAAGGATAACCAATTGAGGGATAACCAATTGAAGGATAACCAATTGAAGGATAACCAATTGAGGGATAACCAATTGAGGGATAACCAATTGTGGAATAACGAATTGAGGGATAACGAATTGAGGGATAACCAATTGTGGAATAACGAATTGAGGGATAACGAATTGAGGGATAACCAATTGTGGAATAACGAATTGAGGGATAACCAATTGAGGAATAACGAATTGAAGGATAACGAATTGAAGGATAACCAATTGAAGGATAACCAATTGAGGAATAACGAATTGAAGGATAACCAATTGAAGGATAACCAATTGAGGGATAACCAATTGAGGAATAACGAATTGAAGGATAACCAATTGAAGGATAACCAATTGTGGAATAACGAATTGAGGGATAACCAATTGAGGGATAACCAATTGAAGGATAACCAATTGAGGGATAACCAATTGAGGAATAACAAATTGAAGGATAACCAATTGAGGGATAACCAATTGAGGAATAACCAATTGAGGGATAACCAATTGAGGAATAACCAATTGAGGGATAACCAATTGAGGAATAACAAATTGAGGGATAACCAATTGAAGGATAACCAATTGAGGGATAACCAATTGTGGAATAACGAATTGTGAGATACCGAAACCCAAAGAGACCGTCAATTTGTCATTCTCCATAACATGCTTTAATTGGTTAAAAAATATCGTCATTTGAACGGACTGAGGTAGAAAACCTGTTAGATTATAATATAGAAGAAAAAGGAGAAATGAAATTGTAATTTAATATTAATTAGCTTGATATTTTACACCATTAAGATTCTGTTGGACTCTTTCTTCGATCTGGTTCTGGATCACAAATCTCTTTTTTTTTAATAAAAATACAAGAAATATCCTACAAACCTTCGCTGGCCTCCTTCTCTGTTTTTCGTTTCCTCTCACAGTAATCATTATCATTATACAGATTGTTATATTTGGATAAATCGAGGTCTTCTATAGCGGCTAATAACTAAAATTAAATAAAAATTTAGCATTTACAGAAGCGTTAATAAAATGAGAACTCTTATAATAGTTATTTTATTTAAAACTATGTTTCAATTCCAGTTGCAACGCCAGGGGGTGTTGGTATCTTTACTCTATTTTATAAAAACTTCAAATTAAGACTTTTATACTTTTTTGTCCTCAGAAAACTTTTCAGGAGACAACAAATCAATTTTATCTTTGTTTTATCTTTGTTTTATCTTTGTTTTGATAAAAATCTCAGGCAGTCCTGTTATTGTATTCTGTAATATTCTTATGTTCAAGAATTTATATTTTCGTCTTTCAAGACTATAGAAGATACTCACCTTTTCTGGAGTAAGTTGATGATCTCCACCTAGAATATTAATACTCTTATCGACCACTCCAATAGAACAGAGCGAGCCGGGGGATGCTTCTACTTTTATTATTGTCTCGGCACCAGGTAAAACTTGATCATTGTTAAATTCCATTGATACCTACACAATAAAAAAGCCAAGTATTAAGGACCGAACTGCAAAATAAAACTCGGAATCCAAAATAACAATTTGGCGAAACATTGTTAGCAGCTAATATCCTTTTAAGAAGTATATCTATCATAAGTGAGTAAGTGTTTCATATTACTGAAAGTGGTATCAGGTGTCTAGAAAACAATATATCACAATGAAGTTTAATTTTATTCAAACCCCCAGGGAGCTGGTACTCAAAAATTTGACACTTCATACACCTAACAGCTTATTCCGTCTGGTGAAAGAGTCCTAGATCCTAACCCTAGAAACTCCACTATCCTTACCTTGTTTCTAAAACATTTTTCAACATTAAAACTGATACTGTCAGCCACTGTTTCACCGTCTTCTCGAATATAATACACCAATAGTTTGGCATGAGGAGCCATATCAGGAGTGACTACAAACTTTATTTTAACATGAGATATATGTGTTGATGGATTTTCAGAAATTTCAATCTTTTCTTCTTGGTTTGGCGCTGGTAATAAAAATCAGCATTGATTAAAATAAGATAAATTTTATGCTTCCAGCTTTGGCCCCAAATATCACTGATTTATTTCTACCACAGAAATAGCATAGAAAGAAGATTAGTATCTCAGTTTTTCTTAACCAACTTGAACAGCTAAAAATGTGTCTGATAAAATGATAACAACCGGATTTTCTCTTCTTCAGAAATGACAAGAAAAGATGAAAAAAACATCCTCCCTAGACATGTAGATAGAAAAACAGCCAATGAAAAGTGAACACTCTGTTTGATAAAATGGTAGCTGCTAGTCTATTTTGTGAAAGTACCATCCACTATCTTTACAGTGTAGACCAACAGCCATAGTTTACACAACCCTAGTACTCATATACTATATCATTGCCTATATGTTTGGATTTCGATTTTCGTTTTGCGGTTCAAATCCTTAGAACTTTGAGATTTTCTTTATATTTAAACTCTGAGGTTTAAGTTCAACTTGTCAAGCTCCAAAATTTCAAAACAAAATCAATTTGAGTTTGTAAAACTTACGCATTATATATCTCTTCTTTCTAATTGGTGAATTCAGGGGCTCAAAAGGCATGCCAAGTGGTTCGTTAAGAGGTTCAAATAATTCTGGCTGGAATGGTTCTTCGATTAACTTTTCAAGCCCGGGGGTGGGAGGAGTAGGAGGGGAGGGTCGGGCAAAAGTTGAAGTAGTGTGGGTGGGGTCAACGTGAACTGTTGTAGTTGGTGTTGGGGGTGAGGTTGGGACACGATTTTCAACTTCTAGAATCAAACATTCCTCCTGGGGTACATCTAACATCTGAGTTTTATCGTGTTTTAAGAAATGATGTTCTTTATGGCCTGTATGGAGCATCTTTCCTCGAGACATCACCTGGAAAAGAGAGTAGTTGGAGTTATGTACTGTATAGATTCCAATATCTCAGCATACTAAGAATTTCAAAAACACCTCCCTAGTACCCTCTCAATCCCTCTCCTTACCCACTTTATCCTACCCCTTACCTCACTCTACCCCTTCTACCCTACCCTCGGCCCTACTGACTTACCTGGTAGTGATTCTGAAGTAGTATATCTAACGTCACTTCCTCTCCCAACCAGACCTGCCCCTCACTTTATCCTACCCCCTACCTCACCCTACCTCACCCTACCCCTTTTACCCTACTGACTTACCTGGTAGTGGAAGAGGGTGTAAGAATCTAAAGTTGTAGTATATGGTATATCTAACGTCACTTCCTCTCCACATTTAACAGTATGATTAATCTGAGGTATTTGTATAAAACTTTTGGAAGGTGAGAACCATTGTTTGATTGTACTGTAAGCTCGGGGCATATACAGACGGAATGTTGGAACACCACCTTCATCTGTATATTCTACAGCTCGGGCCTAGAAAATAAAATACATTACAGTTATAATTTTAATATAATAGTTCAAATAGAATGAATGGAGTTTTTATCAGATTCTTTTGCACCTGTCGATGTATCTGATTCAGGGTTAGGGACCAAGGTATCGTATCTTAAGATTAACAAGTTTTATATGATGTTACTAATATAATATTGACCTCACCTGAACACTGAATTCCGCCATGTTGAATGATAATGGTTGATGACATGACGAGAATTTAATGATTCCGTTTTTATCAGAGGTAAAGTTTTTAGATAATCTAATATCATATTTATAGTTGATCATGGTAATTTCTATAATTTCTCCTGGGGCCACACTGCCGTCTGGTTTCGTCACTTCCGCCTGAAAATAAGATATAGGAAGTCGTAAACTCTGTCACAGAATATTTACAAACAATATGAGCTAACACATACTGCCGTGATAGTTTTCAGCTCTTCGCCTAATATAACTTAGTATGGAATCACTGTTCCACTATTCTTCATTATTATAGAAGCGGCCTTTCATGACACATTTTGATTGGTTAAAATTCATTGGACTGTGTTAAAAAACTTGTTAGATTACAATGCAGATAAAAAAAAATATCAGAAAAAAACGAAATTTTAATTTATTTGAAATATATTGAGACTTACCCGACCATGGTAGGGAAAAGACGGTTTGAAGAATTTATTAGAATCATCTTTCAGTGTTATTTTTAGGGGGTCAAAAGAAATTCTAGGTCCCTTGTGAGATTCTTTCACCATAACACCTGTAATATAGTTAGTTATACGTTTAACATCACAGTCTCTTGAATGTGGTTAGTGCAGGTGATCATACTAATTTAGGCTATAGGTCAAGATTTTGCATCTGAATCTGGAACACTCATATTATATACTAGAGTTTCAATGTGGTTCCTGTAACTGCAGAAAGACTCGACTAGAATATATTATCACAAAACTATCTGGCTTTTATAACAAATCTTTTTTAGGTAAGCAAACAAAAGTGAGCTTTTGTTAACATTCGAAAGATTTAAAGAAATCACAGAAATCACAGAAATCACAGAAATCACAGACCTTAAATCAAGAGGCTGTCATATTGTTCTACTTTCAGTTTGGTTATTCTACAGTTTGTTAAGAGACGTCACACTCTGTGTTTGGTTAAGAATAATGTCATTAGAACGAGACTGTGGTACACAACTTGTTAGATTACAATGAAGACGAAATTGTAAATATTTTTAATTGAATTGATTGAGTCTGTAACAAGATACAATCTCTTACCTGTTTCAGCTTCCCAAACTTCAGCCGAGATTTTTAATTCAGCTCTATAGAAATAATATCCTTTTCTAAATCCAACATCCGTAGCATTGACAGAAAAACTATAACAGCCCTCAATCTAGAAAACATTTCAAAATGATTATTTTACTCGTCTGATAAAAATAATATTGTACGTGGAATAAATAAACAATACTTCTTTCTGAGAATTATAAAAAAAAAACAATCTGATTAGGGGCTCTATAAAGTCAATCAGGAACCATAACTCTCTATGACGAGACTTGAAGTTAGCCTGGCGCTCCGATGTCCGACAAATTTGACCCAGACGAGATGGGTGTGGTGTGGTCAGATGGTAGGAACAGACGTGTCGGACAACGTTAGAGGGTGATACCACGATCCAAAGTTACTCTCATTACGGATTCAGCTTTACGGAAACTGCCGAGTATTACCGAATGACCAGGGTGATCTTGATTTGATACTGGCGTTCTTTATAGTACCTATTGTATAGGGAAAACTAAACCGAAAATGGACTCAATATCGACCGAATAGAGCTAACAATTGCACTGTCTTACCTCCTCTACTATACTGGCACAAGGTGCATTAATTGACCTATGACCTCCTAGACAAATCTCAGCCTCCAATCGACCTCTGACAGGTTTACCATAAGTATATCTAAAATTATAATAAATTAGATTAAATGAGTTTTTAGTTCTATACTGACACAGTATTTTAAAGATTTCATGGAAAGGTCAATCACCTGTATGTCTCTCATTTTCTTAGTTTATTCTAAATATATTTTCCTATCAGCACATTAGATAAGTCATAATAGTTCAAGAATAATAATGCCATGGATAGAGCTATATTCAATCACAAGCTGCACATTAATAATACTTGTTACTGTGATAGGAAAACCTTCTTTAAATCTAATGGATCTATTCTACAAGACACCGTATGTTGTATATTAAATAAGCACCCCTACCCCCTTTGGTTGTTTCTTAAGTATTGATAAAATTCCGTACAGGCCAAACCACAGTGTTAACTTACTTGGCGCAGATTTCACCTTCAACTGTAGAAGAATTGGACAATAAAAACTTGGGAGGATTAATAGTCACTTCAAATTTCGGTAAAACTGAAAAAAAGAATGATTTGAGAAATAAACAAAGTATAATATTAGGCCAATCTTTAGTCTAAAATAACAATACAATAGAATCTGTAGATTAAGACAATAGATCACCTTAAATTTCAGCTTCAGAGTCTCTTTGATCAGTTTTATGTTGTATTGTATGATATAGTCTGATATATCTAAGTTAAAATTCTCAATACATGACATATTATTCTACTCGGATATTTTGTGAAACGAAGCGAATATTTAAAAACTTTTACCATATTCGTCTACTTTAAAAGTTTGTGTTGTTAGATCACCGTCTATCGTAGCTTCTATCTTCCAGACTCCGAGTAGCGGTTCCCGTGCCAACTGGAAATCAAGACTGGTTAAGCCTGAAACAGATAAAATACGGAACTTTAATACCACCAATATATATAAAAGACAACATATTAAGTAAATTTTACTGGTTAAAGTGGTTATAGTCGTCAGTCAAAATATAAAGAAATTGTGTAATTCCTTAACAATTAAGTGGCTCACTTCATTAAATATTTAGCCATTGCTGATGTAACAGTGGATTAGGTTCTAAACATAATAGAAGAATTTTTCACGCAGTTGAAGAAATGTGCCTGTAGGAGCCTGTAGTCATGCTTATATAGAGAAAATATAACGCCAAATCATTTCCATATAAGGAGTTGTCGATTCAGAACCTTATCACAACACTAACCTTACAGCTAACAAGACTTAGAAGTGGAATAGAACAGAGACAGGAAAATCACGACATTTTTTTAATATTGTGGATCAAGTATTATACAAAATTATCCCAGTCGACACAGCTATAAATAGGGGGAAGGAAAGATTAATGCCAAGAGGTTTGGCCAATGACCAAAGTGAACATAAGTTGTTATCGTTTCGCACAATGGTAGTTACTCTGTAAGGATCGATAGCAATGTAGCAATTTTACACAAAAATTGTGAATCGTCTGCACTTAGACACTTATATCTACATTTCCTATTGTTAATAATTTAGATGATGAATTGAGTGGAGAAAGTTTTGTGTGAAGTTCTAACTATCACAGCAGGTGTTGAAAGTAAAATTAATTACGTTAGACAGAGAATGGAGGAAATTAAGAGAATCAGGGAGAAGAAAAGAAAAGATGAAAATAGAGAAAAGTCAGGCGATAAATATCTTTACTTGTCTTCCAGATAATTTCTTTAAATAGATTTGCAATCAAACTAGTTTAAAAATAAAAATATTTAGAATTGTCTTTGTGTTTTATATAAACAGAAAATCTTTGATGAAATAAAAAGTTTGTTAGGTTTGCAGAAATATATGTTTTAATCTTCTTGATCAAGTCAAGAGAATTTGAATTTGCAGTAGGCCCTATCTTTCCCTTCTTACAACACCAATAAGAATTGATATTTTATGGCACTCCCTGATCCTGTGCTTCTGACAGTCAGCCCGGTGTCGGCTTTCATCCCCAATACCTAACCATGACGAATCACACCCGTATATCACGTCTGAGAAACTAGGCCAGAATTGTTTTGCAGTCGACCCAGTCTTAGGACTGGATGTGTATAATCCGGAAGTTCTGAACTATTACATAGAATAAGTGACAGTGATTTATTGTTATTTAATTGTTATGGTTTATCAGAGAATAGAAACAGACCTAATCGTCCAGGACCAGCTGAAAAACTCTAAAGAAGTTATTATCCTTGTAGAATAATCTATAGTGAGTTAACAGAATGAAGTAGGTTTGTTGTTATTATCCTTGTAGAATAATCTATAGTGAGTTAACAGAATGAAGTAGGTTTGTTGTTATTATCCTTGTAGAATAATCTATAGTGAGTTAACAGAATGAAGTAGGTTTGTTGTTATTATCAGTTGCAGAATAATCTATAGTGAGTTAACAGAATGAAGTAGGTTTGTTGTTATTATCAGTTTGATATAAAATAAAGACGAGAGAGAATGAAGTAGGTTTGTTGTTATTATCAGTTTGATATAAAATAAAGACGAGAGAGAATGAAGTAGGTTTGTTGTTATTATCAGTTTGATATAAAATAAAGACGAGAGAGAATGAAGTAGGTTTGTTGTTATTATCCTTGTAGAATAATCTATAGTGAGTTAACAGAATGAAGTAGGTTTGTTGTTATTATCAGTTTGATATAAAATAAAGACGAGAGAGAATGAAGTAGGTTTGTTGTTATTATCCTTGTAGAATAATCTATAGTGAGTTAACAGAATGAAGTAGGTTTGTTGTTATTATCAGTTTGATATAAAATAAAGACGAGAGAGAATGAAGTAGGTTTGTTGTTATTATCCTTGTAGAATAATCTGTAGTGAGTTAACAGAATGAAGTAGGTTTGTTGTTATTATCAGTTTGATATAAAATAAAGACGAGAGAGAATGGAGTAGGTTTGTTGTTATTATCAGTTTGATATAAAATAAAGACGAGAGAGAATGAAGTAGGTTTGTTGTTATTATCAGTTTAATAAAAAATAAAGACGAGAGAAGAGAAAGTTGGTAGAATAGTTTGATTATCAGTGAAATATAAATATATTTACAAACCTTCAGACTGGACATCTAACCACTGTTTTACTCGAACATCATTAGAATCCTTGATAAATACCTGACTGATCTAAAATACACAGGTAAATAATTATTACAAGGTAGACAAATTAAGATGAAACCGTGTTAACCAGTTTACTTTGCTGAAACAGGGTTAATTCATACACAAACATCAAATGTCATGTAGGAAATTTTACGGTTGTTATGGAGAACTACTTGATAAATGTTTCTATAATTTTGGCTTGTTTAGGTATGAATTGATTTGGTTGTATCTCTAGACCATGTTTACTATTTTGAAACACCTGATGGTACTTCTAGTTTGAGGAGTTCACTACTATACTGTTATCTGAAAATGAGTTGTAACTAATGATCTAAATAATTTCTATAATATTAAGTTATTTTACTGTAAACTTTTTACTAATCAAGTGAAAACGACATTTTAAACATCTCACTCACTCAGACTAATTGTTCAAATCTTTAAGTCATTATAACTAAATTAGTAAATTACATTTCTAACAAGATATTAAATCAGTTGGTAGGTGATAACTGTTTACACTACCAGTCTTTACATGTTAATGATTCATAGACAGTTGGAAATAGAAACAATAGTAGGACACTGCTCTGTGAGATCTTCCTTCATAGCACACTGCATGGTGTAGCTCGTCTTTAGAAAGTAGGATGTTAATATGTTTTCAATGTTGTTCGATTTGGAATTTGAAAAGTCGACGTATCATTACCTTGTAAACGATATCTTTTGATGAATTCGTCGCTTTTCAATGGAAGCCAGAACACATTATTAGATGGCAATTCAAAACAGTGTATAATATTGGGCGAGGATTAAAAGTTGTTTGTATATTGAGAAGAGATTATTCTTATTAACTTACCTGTCCAATTCTTGGTTTCAAATCTCGTTTCATTGTTAAAACTCGAAATTGAACTGAAAATAAAGTTAAATACATTTCATTTGGTTTTTGAAGTTAGCGTTAATCTGGTAAGTTATTACTTCTATTCCTATCAGTCCATGACACCATGGGACATAATATTTGATCTTAGCAAATCAATAAACACAAAATAAATAACTTAGCGGCAATTAGCTAAAATAATGAACACAAGCCACAAGCCATCTTCACAATGTCAAGCTATTACAAACTTCATCTTCACAATGTCAAGCTATTACAAACTTCATCTTCACAATGTCAAGTTATTACAAAAATTAGACGTAGATCATAATAACCTGACATTGTGAAGATACAATTCGTAATAGCTTGACATTGTGAAGAAACAGTTTGTAATAGCTTGACATTTTGAAGATGAAGTTTGTAATAGCTTGACATTGTGAAGATGAAGTTTGTAATAGCTTGACATTGTGAAGATGAAGTTTGTAGTAGCTTGACATTGTGTAGATGAAGTTAGTAATAGCTTGACATTGTGAAGATGAAGTTTGTAATAGCTTGACATTGTGAAGATGAAGTTTGTAATAGCTTGACATTGTGAAGATGAAGTTTGTAATAGCTTGACATTGTGAAGATGAAGTTTTTAGTAGCTTGACATGAGAAGATGAAGTTGAG